ATTTCAATATTGCATTGTCATCGTATAAAGTTTTGTTAGAAGGCTAAACTAATGATTTTTTGACTTTTTATTATATCTTTATGAAGAATCTTCATGAATCATTTATTCACACTTACTTTTATAATTTTTTACTTTTGTTTATTTTAACTCCTTCAAATCATCGGCAAAAAATAATATTAAAAATTTATAAGGCCCGACTTGAAGTATTAGGGCGAAAGAGATGCTTCTAACACTCGAGATAAACAATTACTTTTTAAAATTTTCCGTGGATATGTATTTATCATATACTTTTATAGGATGACAGTAAAAGGAAATTATGTGGTGTGATTGCTATTGATGATGGAGTAACTATCTACTATTACTAGTGATGTCATGGTTATCCTTCACAATAAGGTTTACTTTCCTAATGACTTATTGGCTCTTGCTCCTATAAAATTTGATCAGGCATGTTATTCACCATCAAGATATATCACAATCTAAAAGATGACCTTGCACATAGACCTATCATTTATCGTAGTCCTTGAATTGATCGAATGCTTCGTGGTATGTAATGTTACTTTTTCCCAATTTTTATTCAAGCTATGATTATTGTTGTTGGCTTCATGATTTTCTCGAGTGTGGGGCTTTGTTGACCCAAAATACTTATATAAGAAGTGTAAGTTGATTTGTGATGCTTAGGGGTGCATTTGTTACAAGAATAATAAAAAGGGATTTTTACATACATAACACCTTAAACTATAGTATATACATATTCAACTTCTAACATTAGTATTTACTTATATACCACCTAAAAACCCTTCTCCTCATCTATACTACTACTCTGTTAAATCCCGTTAAAGCCACACTGTTGGAGAATTTTTTTATCCTCGAACGGATTGCATACTTTATGATTGAGCACGACATAAGAACATGATATATTATCCCGAAGGGTAAAAATATCATTTCCTTATTGACTCAATATAAAATTTATAATTTTAACAGAGATTCCCCCACTCGATGCTTGGTCGGGTGGGGTTTATTTATTTCTGGGGTACAGACATCCCATAGGGGTTACATCTCAAGCTTTGACTTAAAAAGACTTTTGATTAAACTAGTGGTTTTATTTCTTTTGGAAGTCATCTAAATGTTGGTTAAATTTTTTTTTTTTATCCAAGAAAGTCTTGCTTAAAGGTTTTGGCCCTTTAGGATTTTCAAGAAGTTGATCAATTTAGAATTCGTTTTGAAATGAGAGCTAAGGAAGGTGAAGTAGGAGCACTTGATTCTGAGGGAAACTCGGAGGTGCTCAAACTATCCTATATTGGGCTTTATATTTTAAAAGTCTAATTTTGGTTTAAGTTGATATTTTTTTATTAGAAAATTGGGGCTTATATTCCAACAATATTTGTTGAAGGGATTGCCCGAAAGGTGAGGACTTATAGGGTGATTTGGAATCAACCAATGCCTCGGACCCTAAAACTAAGGTGAGGACCACCGATAGGTAGTGCCTTGAACCTAAATCTAACGAGTGCAAAGGGGCTTACAAATCACACCTCACAAGAGACATAGCCTGCCCGACCTCTGGATTTACTGTCCTGTCTAGAAGGGATTATCAGCTAGACCCGCCTAGTCGATTTTAAAACCATGCCATCTAGTCTTAATACAGATGTAGAGTGGAGGGTTCTTTTATTTAGAAGGTAAGACTTATAGCTTGGCTTTGAGGCCAAGATGCCTATTTATGTGGGTATGCATATGCTGACTCACAAAAAGAAAGATTTTTTTTGTTATCTAATCCTTAAGTGAATGCTCTTCTATATGAGACACTTTTGGGCTATGCATGTTCATTTTAATTTTTGAAAACTTAACTCCTTGAAGGGAGCCATGCACTTTTCTTTTATTTAAAAATCATGGAGCCTAATTTTATTTTTTAGATTGCTTACATTTTAAGAGGTAGATAATTTATTTTATCCTAAGAGTCTACCGCAACAGAGTCTAGGTCACATCCAAACAAAGCAATAGAAGAAACTTAAGAAAAATACATGCTTTTCTAATGCGCACCCAGTAAACACATCAACACATGCTTGTATATAAATCAAAACATAAGTGTAAATAGTGTCCCAATTATTACAAACATGTTTGGCAGCTGAGTTGCCTGTCATTATACAATCCAATTAAATTTACAGACTCTACTTGTGGGGTCTTCAAGCTTACAAAAAGATCTTTGGGCTTCATCTCCAAAAAGGTACATCCCTCCTATTCCACTCCTTTCTTTTGCTCCAAACCCCCACAAGTTTTACATCCTACTTCTATAAAATATATTTGAAAATATAAAAGACTCAAACTTGCAAAATAGAGTTAGACAGCAGTTTATATAATCATCACATTATATTCCCAAAATTGTCCTAGCACTTAGAGTGCTAAGCACCTGCTTCTACCCTATTGGTCATGCCTCTTGGGGGGTTTTAAGCAGTGTCTGCAAACAAACAGCATTAGCATAATCATGACATTTACCCCCTTCTTGGACATGGCCACCTGCACAGAAAAGCATTTATATCTTTCTATACTAACCACTTAAGGGCAAGTGCCCACAACGCAGACAATCCAAAAGGCAATCACTCCACAACATCAATCACATGCGCACACAAAGAAAAACCCTAATCCTAGTATGCCTAAGGGGTTGTGCACCTAAGTGTGTGAGGCTTGTGTGTTATGTCACACTAAGGGTCCTCTTAAAATTTGGATCTAAGGAAGAAATGTCTAGCATGTAGCTTTTGAGCTAACTGTTGGAGGAATTCTTCTCCTAACTTTTGGAGCTAGAAGAAGAGTGAATTCTTTTAGCTTTGAGGCTAAAGAATGGGAAGAAAGAGAGTCCAATATATAACCTTTGGGCCAAGTGTTGGAAGAGTTCTCCTTAGCTTTTAGAGCTAAGAAAAGAAAGTAGGGATCTGACATTTAGCTTTTGAGCTAAATGTTGGAAAACTCCCTTTAGCTTTTGGAGCTAAAGATAGGGGAAATCTCCTTCAACTTTGGAGTTGGAGGAGAAAAGAGAGAGTATGCAACTTATGGGTTGTAAACTCTTGAAAGTCTTTGAACACTTTGATGTCCAAAAAGGGTTGCACCCTTCCAACTCGAGTTTGGAAGGGTGGAGGGAAATAGGACTTTGAATCCTATGTGTGGGATGAAATAACTTGTTGCTTTCGGATCATACAAAACATATTAAAATTGATAAACATTGATACATAAAAAGCTTGATAGTAGTCTAATATGTACTACATTCAAACCCCATGCGAATAACTTGAGGACAAACTCACCAAAAGATTATCAGAGCCAGCCTTCCAAAAATTATCAAACAAGCTTGGAATGGAGGATATCCATCCATTCACGTATGGGGGGATGTAAAAAAACAACCCACAATACTTTCACCCAAACTTTCACCCTCTTCCTGCCTTGACACTTTCACATCATGGATCCATGGGATCCCTACTGCCAACTCACCAATCTATGAGACTATGATAAATTTGAAATTATCAGTTGTTTCTATTCCCTAATTTTGTATGTTTCCTATTAAAAGCTCTCCTAAATTTATATAAATTATGTACATTGTAAATTAAAACTACACTATACTCTCCAGTTCTTTTCAGCACTATTTTGGCATGAAAAGAAAATCATGAAGATGGCTCATGATGTGGACAGCACATTTAAAATTTTTTCAAAATTTTGTACTTGTGATTTAATTGAAAAAATTTCTCAAATTCAAAAGAATCATAGTTTTAGCATTAGGAATCCAAAAAATAAAACTTCCTCATAATTAAAACCATGTAGTTTTCTATCAATTTTTTTTATAAAAAAGTGCACAATAATAGAGTAGACAAGGAAAAAAAATCTGCACAATAAGAAAAGAAAAAATATATTAAAAAGAATGAAAATCGCTCAAAAACTAGAAAAATGAGATGTCAAACGAAGTACCAACATTTGGGAGGGATGTCTCTCATGATCATCCCACATTACTCTGGCTATTACACATTGCCGCATCATTCTCCATCCCTCCCGTGATTAATGCCAAATGTTAGTTAGAGACGATTAACTCCTCTTGGGAAGTAAATCAGAGACTTAAAATAAACTTTTTAGAATATTCTTCATGAAGTTAACAACAGGGTCCAATTTAGAGAGAACTAAGTGGATTGATAACTTGATGCATGTTGACATAATTGCCTAAGCTTGTGCATGCAGGGCTTGTAGAAAGCCCAGCTTGCTATACTGTGAGTGAAAGAAGTTTAAAAAGCAGGGATACAAATTCATCGCCTAGTAATTGCAGCCTTCTTGAACGAGGTAAAGAAATAAATAAAAAAGAATGATGACAATGATGCAATCAAAATTCAAGAAAGCAACATCAGACTGAGATTAGTAATATTAGAATGAATGAGAATTTAGACGTTAGACTCACAAACTAGTACGGATCAGACTTAAGTATATTGTAGAAGCAAATTAAAAGAAAAACATACTGGCAAGATTTTGACAGTCAGGAAGACTTAAGTAAACATTTAGTGTGAAAAGGGAAAAACGCCTGTATGCACAATAATGAGAGGTAACTGATTTACAAATATTGATTGGTGTGCGTCTCATAATGTGGATGCTGCATAGCTTCACATTCACTACAGGCTTATCCATCAGTGATAAAAATGAAAAGCATCCAAGTGCAGGTCATAAGCATTCCAGCAATATGGAAACAAGAAGCATCAAATTTTCCATGCACCCAATTTGGTGGCATATACAACAAACAAGTATCTTGGCTGAGAGAGTTTAACATAATGTTAACACATTGCTTTCATATCTTCAAAGTGTGATACCAGCTATGCATTCATAGCATAAATAAATTATTCCACCAAAGAATGGCCGTTCCTTTGGCATTGTTGTTAATAATTCATAATTTTCAAAAAACAAAAGTTGACCAAATCAACATTGTTAGTGCAATGCAAACTTGAAATAGGGAAAAATACTCAAAAACTAAGATCATGCAGAATCTTTAGCAATTTGAAAATAAATGGAATAACAAATATTCATGTGAATTCTTACCAACAAGAAGTTGCCAAAACTATGCCAGATACTAAGAAATGAAAAAAAAGTACTGATATAACTGTAAAGACAGCATGTCCAAAACTTGAATCATACCTACAAAAACAAAAGAGACAAAATTAACAAGGCAAATAAATAGCATAATTGGGTCAATTTACTATGCTAGCATGAAAAAATAAGACCTTTCCTAAGAATATCAAAACTTTCACCAGACTTCTTTTATCAAAACAGTGAAACATCCACTATACGAAACTTACGCGGCACAATAAGCAGAAGTAGCAACAACCACGAATAAAGAGAGAATCACTATGAAGGCAGGATCATCTCGTGCCCACTGGTTTTTGGTTTCTGGGAAAAGAAGTCAAAATTAATCCAAAATCCACCACTGAAAATAAACATGATAAATAAGCCTGATCTCAAAGAATGCAGCTTCCCAAGGGCAATATATAATTCGAACTCACCAAGTTTGAACAATAGACTACATAACAAGCACTCGAAGAAAACATAATACTGTATTTAATAATAAAATAGCCTGTATGGAACATCAAACAAAATATGTTTGCTGGCTTCACTTTTTTTTTTTTTTTTTTTTTTTTTTTTTTTTTACTACTTGGTTGAACGTCAATTGTTCAATTGCTCTAGATGAAAATTGTCTTAATTCAGAAAACTCAAAAAAATTATAAAGTCCCCAATACTTTTTTAAGGCTTCTCCTACATATTCCTGCAATTCGCAAGTAAAATCATTAGCCTGACCAAAGCACACTAAAGATTGCCATGGAAATCAACAAGCAAGCAAGCCCACAAGAAACACCAAACTTCTTCTCTGAAAACATATTGTTTCAAATAGAATAGAAAAAGAAATGTGCATACAAGCCATACAGTAAAGAAAGCTCAAAACATTATTCCATCAAAATTATAATGAATTAAAACAAGTTACTTACGCTTATGGTACTTTGTGTGTTGGTAGCTGCTGTCGGCCAATTATTCCACATGCAAAAATATTTCCCAAACCAAAACTGAAATGTAAGATATTTAATAATAAAACAATGTAATGCTGATGAGTATAAGGAGATGTGAGTGGCTGTGATTACGAGGTTAGAAAAGGTAAACAAGAGGAAAATTGGAAGTACCACATTTATTTATGATTAAGAAAGGAAAAATTTTAATTTCTCTATGAATATACAGAAAAACTTGTAAAATCTACTAAGCTTCGGAAGACATCATTAGCATAATGCATATTCTCACTTGTTGGGCCTCTTCGGTAATTATTTTAAATCTTGCTTGAAAAAATTTAACCGTGATAAGCCATGTCAATAACTGTGTTTATTATGATTTTTTTTTTAGCTGAACCATTTTGAGCACTCTTAAAAACATTTAACCCTAGCCCACCCTCTTCTGAACCCTTGTGCACAAGAAATTTCATATAGCTAGCTCCTAAATGAAGGTAAATGAAGTGAAAACTTTCTTCTCTCCTTTTCATATTCTTCTCAGTTTCTCTCTGTATTGATGAATTCTCCTTGATGGCTTATTTTCCTATTAAATGGCTCTCCCTTTATCTGGGCAGGTGATGGAGGAGCAAATGTTGGTAGAGCTACCTAAGCATCAAAGGAAACCATCATTGTAGCCCTTTTGTTCCTTCATCGTGGTCATCTGACAAGCATCCGCTTGGACATCTCTCTTTTAAGCTAGAAGACATTCAATCATCAATAATCTCTCCTCGTAATCATAGTCCCCAAGCTCCGAAAATCACCAAGGGTAGTCTTCCCAATCTTTAATTTAAACAATAAAAAAATTCTTTGCAGGTTGGAACTAGCACTTCGAAATTAAATTATGATCCAGAATTGGATGTGAGAAAGACTTTTGAAACCAATAGGAATGTTTGTAGGATAAGAGTAATATGGCACAATCCTTTTAATGAGATGGAAAGAGTCCATAATAAGAAGATTGATTAAATTTTCTAATTGTAGGAAACTACTATATAACTTGTGTCTTCCACTCACTATTTACTACAATAACTGTGATTTGCTGGAAGCCTGGAATACACGTGACTACAGTACCCAAGCGGAGAGGAAATCTTTCAGAAATTAGAATTGCTTTCAACTACATAAAACAGACTACTTATGAACAAAAAATAGCATGAGTAATTTAAATTTGATCTTATGTTTTCCTAAACTAACCGCATCAAATAAAGAGCAATCTCATCGCTAAATCCATAATTTGGGAAATGCTTCTTAAACTAACTCCATAAAAGAAGAAAATTAAAATTTAAATTCAAAATACAAATTATCTGAAATAAGTTCAAAAATTCAAAAGTCATTCTTATCATGTTGACCTTATCATCATCCAACAATCCAAATTTCCTACCTCACAATCTTGATTATCAAGCATTTCATCAAAATCGACCTGTCTTGGACAACTGTGGACTTAATCTTCCTATCTAATGTTGTGATCTAAAAATTTATTTTAATAAGACCTCTCATGTTGTGATCAATTCCCAAACCAAGAAACTCATAGGGCCATCCATTAATGGCAACCATAAGTGCATATGCTAGCTAGATTTGGCATTATAAAAGTTAATTTAGGCCTCGTTTGAGACGGCTTAATTTTGCCTTTTTTGTTTCGAACAACAAAGTTATTTTTGGGTTGCTATTTGTATGTGACACTTTTCAAAAACTGCTTTTTACGGAACTTCATTTTTGTATTGTTTTCAAAAGCTTTTTAGTATTGGTTTCTCGTTAGAAACATCCATTCTCTCAAACAATTTTTTTAAAACTACCTTTTACAAAAGGTATGGGGTAACCAAATGAAACCTTAAGGGAGTACATTTTATGGGTAGAACATGACAATGCATTTACAACAGGTAGATGGCATAGGTTACTACTAATTTAGATGGATAACCCAATCTAATATTGCTTCATTCCTTTCCTTTACACCTAAGGCTACAAGCCATGAGACATCCAACCTCATACTACTGAACTCACATAACATAAGACACACCTAAGCGTACAATACTGATAGACCAAAGATTTCTCCATTTGAAAAGAAATAACAATAAGCATTAAATTAATTTTTGTCAATATTAAATCAAGTAAGAGAGAATTATTGATTCTAGAAATGTAAAATGTGCAAAAAAATGGTGGCTAACTGGTTTTTAAACTATATAGATCTCTGTCCATTTGGCAATCTCCATCAAGCACATCGTTTTGCCTCTTATAGTCTTATTCCTAATCGGACAGATTAGACAATGTTTGAAGAATGAATCAGGGTAATCAAGCTGCAATTAATCTACAGAGATACATAACCAACCCAACATATAAAATAGATATTCATCATTTAACTTCTAGACAAGGATCGGACTAAAATTGCTCACCAATTCAGTCCAGGTCTAGAAATTTTGATAACTTAAAACAACATACAAATACCCGTTATCAAGAACAAGGTCATAACAGGGGATTCTGTAGCACATCTCAATAAACCAGTGTTAGACAGGAAGGACAAAAAAAGTATATTCTTCTGCTACAACAAAGCATCACCTTTACTGTAATCTATTACTGCACTGGAGGGCCTGAACGAGAATTGAGAAGCTTACCAACCCACACGAAAAAACTACCTCAATCCCATGTCTCTTAGGCTTCATTTGAAAACACTGATGTGCTGTACGAAATAAAGTTCACTCTAATCCCATAGATGTGGTAAGTTGCCTCTAAAATGGATTCCCCTGACTATGAAGCTGTAAAAGGTGCGCAAGCGTGGGGTAGGGCCCTTATATGTGTGTTTCCAAAACAAATCAAAATGGTCATATTGAATCTTTTGTAAAGCAAGGTTGGTGCAGCAAATTATCCATAAAATCAAGCCTTATTTCTTCATGGCAGCTATTTGGCTATTTGGGCTTTTCAAGAATTGTCCAGTAGCAGTAACTCCGCAATTTGGCAAACTTACACTAGAATATCAAGCAAAAATTTAGAACATATTTCTAAAAAGTTAAAAGGCTTCTTTTCTTTTCAAGGTAAACCGCATAATTCCTCAATCAAAAGAGCATGACAATACTTGGACCTAACTTGGCCAAAAAAAGCATAATCAACCCCAAGAAGATTCTAAGCCAAAAGAGTATGAATGAAAGGATAGATAATACAATCAAAATAGCATGATTGTTTATTGTACTTAGGATAAACTCATTGACAGTGATATGACTAAGCATAAAGGAAGCCTACACAAAGAAAATGACTAAACTAACAGTAAAAGTTAATATATTAAATCAAAATGATGAAATGTATGCAAGTGACTCATAGGGCATGGTAACATACAAAGTTATTTAGTTCTATGAGAAGCTGGGGTTGACTATCCTAAAATATTATCTACCTCAAAGAAAGTTTAGGCCGTTCAAACTACAACCCGGTTTTATTACACCTAAAGAGTATAATGTCTCTCCCAAACATTTATCTTCTTTAATAAGGAATGAATGTTTATAAATGTTTTCTAGTAAACAGAATACACACAGTTAAGGAAGAAAAGAATGGAAAATATAATTCCAAGCATTTTATTTTGGAGAATAATAAAGCTCTAGATACATACACAACTTTTGGTGAAGTGCAAAGATGAAGCATTTGCCAAAATGTGTACTCGATGTCCATTTGTTGCCACTAACAAAAGGAAAACAGTAAGCCAGTATAAGATCACATGCGAAAGAAAATATTGCAGGTGTTTTTCAGTAAAAAATTTTGTGATAAATTAATTGGTCTGCATTCTCTATAAAATAATCTAAAATGCATTACATAAAACCATAGATAATTATATGCCATGACACTAGTCCTAATCTTTGTTGTTCAGGCGTATCTAATTTAGATATACAAACGTCCAATTTATCAGAAATGACATTTGCACGAAAACATAGGCGCCGTCCCCTGACTCCCATCAATTACTAGAAGCATCATAGCAAGGTCTTCTTTAAGTAGCAAAGTAACAGCTACCACCAGTCCCGTTTCTCATTACAATTTGATGCTCCTGAGTGAAATTGATCAAAAAATAAACCTTTCAAAGGATCGCACACTACATTTAGATATGGTTAAAGGCAATTAAAAGACACAATCTATTTTCAGAAAGAATAAAGCAATTACACTGAATTTCTGCTGGCATGTCTCTAATTTTTACGAAAGTTCAAGTTTTCAAGAAAAAAATTCAATGGCTAATAAGTAAATCTTTGTTGAACTAAGCACATGTGAGACAAGAGGAAAGTTCTCTATATAATATAAAGGGGAATGAATAATTACACATGAGCTTGAATAATGTGTACCATGATATAAGACGAGCAAGCCTATGGGAACTATGATGATGATTCTAGACTTGATAAAGAAGGCATAAAATGCCACTACGGACATGACAAAGAAATGATGAAATGAAAGATGTCAATTAAATCGTAGATTATGTGATATGAATGAAGTTCTTATCTCTTATTATAAAAATTATGAATGATTCATGTAGATTCGTAGAAAACTAAAGAGTAAGAAGATGGGGAATGATTTTCTCTTTGTTACACCTTCCTTCAAACTGCGGTACAGTCATTATAAATAGAGAGGAAAATAATTAATGAAAATTACAAAAACTGAAAACTAGGTAATGCACAAAAGTAGAGCCACACAATCCTTGGAAAAAACATGGAAAGACAGCAAGGGAATAACCAATACAGAAACGTGATACTCAGTTAAGCAAACTGCAGGAAATCAAAGCCTTCCATGTAGGGACCAATAGGGAATTCTGTCAGGATTGTCTACCAGAACAATCAGGTGCTCAATAAGGAACGACACCAGATTTCATGGCCCAGATCCATTGAATAATTACTGCCGATCAATACTTCCACAATATGTTCTGAAATGTTATTATATCATAAAAATTCATCATTTTTATGTACAAGTTCATGACATAATTCATATGTTATAAGGACATGGTTTCATGTACAGCCAGAAATGAATTTTTTTCAGCTCTATTTTATTTAGGAATCAAGATTCCAAACACTTGACCCATATTTTCCAGTTCATTGCAGTGGGGAACATGGCAATCTCCCTGGCTTGTTTTGTCAAACCCAAAAGGATCAGGAGAATAAACAGGGATACAAGAAACTATCACCCACCAACCACCACTTCACAGTTTTTTTTTTTTTTAATCCATAACTATTTACTGGGACTTCAAAGCTTTGTAAACTTTAAAATAAGAAACCAAATTAATTAGCATTAACCATTGCCATCTTCAAAGAAACAAATCAATCCCTAAACATAAGTATTTTTTACACTCCCCATGAACCAAAGAAGATCAGTTCATCACACTATTAGAAGGAACTCAATAGGAATTAATCCTCTGTAAAATTAAAGTGCATAAGTATCTGTTAGACCGGTCCACTGGACTGGTCCAGCCGGTCCAGGCAGGACCGGTTCACGGGCGAAATCGCAAAACAGGCGGAGATTTCGCTAGAACGAGCGGCCCGACCGCTCATATAGAGCGTTTTAGGAAGGATTTTTGGGGGGTTTCAGAGAGAAATTTGAATGTAGGGACTGTTTAGGGAATTCCTTTTGATTTGTAGGCATTAAATAGATGTTTTTCCTAGGGTTTGGGGCATCTTGAATTTGGCTGAAATTTGAGATCTCGTAGATTTAGGTTTTCTTTGGGCTCTTGGCGTTGCCAGAGATTTGGGAGAGAACGATCCTCCTCTCGAATTGAGGATCAATTGTATCTTGCTATTTTATTCATCGACTAGTGGAATACAAGCTTTTCTTTGAGTTTTCTCTCAGATTTCCTTGTGGTTTTGCTGTTTTTCTGCTGTAAACAGCAGATTTCTGCTGTATTTCTGCTGTGGACAGCAGTTTCCATCGGATCAACTTCAGTTTTGGTGAGAAACACTTGGGAACTCAAGTGTTTCCTATCAGTATCATGGAATTCCAGGTTCCCAATAGAAAAAGTGATATTTTTTATGCATGATGTTATAGTTAAGTATCATCAATTAAAATAAAAAATAAATAAAAAAAGAGTAGTAATCTCATTAATGCCATCTTCAATAAAAACAAATCAATAATCTAATCATATATGCTTTTACACTCCCCATGAACTGAAAAAAAAATCAGTTCATCAGATTTTTAAAGGTAACTCAACAGGAAGTAATGCTCTGCAAAATGACAGAATTCAGTCGGTCACAATCTAAATATAAGGAAATATTTTTTCGCATGCGGTTGTTGTAAGTATCATCAATATAAATTAAGAATAAATGGATTTTCTAAGTGGCAGGGAAAATTTGTGTAGACTTTTTAGGTTATATTGAAGGAAAGAATGACAAATTAGAAAGTCGTGCAGAAATAAGAGGCGCAGCTTCCATAAAATAAAGTTGTAATATGTAAATATGCTCATAGCAACAATTCTTAAAAACACGTAATAAAATCGGCGCCTGCTTGGTAAGTAGTCATATTTTATGCCTGACACCATAGTTAAATATAATAAACAAAAGTTCTAAATAAATGGATTTTCCAAGTGGCAGAAAATTTTGAATTACTTTCTCAGGTTACAGTAAAGGAAATAATGATGTGCTAGAAAGTCAAGCAGGACAAGAAGAGCGGATTTCATCAAATTATGATGTAATATGGAAATTATGTTCATAGCATAAAATTCTTATAATCCCATGTTACGCAATTGGCGCTTGTTTGGTTGCTCACAAATGTTGATAGGAATTGACAAGTGATAGAAATGGAAATTAGTCCCTTTGTTTGGCTGGTAATTGAAGTACAAAGTCGCACTTTCTCTAATAGAAAGTATATAATATCCTTCTATTTCCACCTGACTCCCCCTTTTTTTTAAAAAAAAAAAAAAAAACTGACTCCCCCTTCTTTATTCAAAGTCACTAAGAATTGAAAATCTAAATTCCGAACAAGCACACACTTCCATTGCATGGGAAGAGGTAAAAATGGAGATAATTCCACGAATTTAGCTGGCAACCTAAGTAAGAAGTCAGACTTTCATTAATAATTGGAGCATTCCCTATTTTTCTTTGTTTGTTCTTCCCTCATTTTGATTAAGATCACAAAGAGGTAGGACGCTTTAAATTATTTACAACCACTCACTTTTATTCTATTTAAATAAAAAATGATTAGACGAGTTGAAAGTTGAAGTTAATAGATGACATTCAAAAATCCTATTTGACTTCTCCAGCGCATACTTACAAAGTGAAAAAAGGCCATTTCATTCAAATATAAGAAACCAATCAAGCCCATAAGGATGTGAAATTACAGATTAAATCGTTAGCAAACTGGGTAAATATGATAAAGTATCTATTCAAATGCTTGTTTCTTTTCAGCTAGGAGAAGGAAGGTAGACACATCACTTCTAAAGTGGACACAAGAAAACATTCTGAGCTTGCCTTTCTTGCACAAGCCATTCTGCTTAACTTCATATGATTTAGGGAAAAGGGGCTAGAGTTTGAAGCAAAAAATCATGAGCTCACTTCCCAGAAAAAAATGGCTTTTCCACAGCTAAATCCATCCCTATTTCCACTATTTCCTGCTTCAGGATACCAAGACAGAGAGCCAAACATGCCAAATTTTTCCACATGGCCATACAACCCTCTCTACATTGTATATTGATGTAGATAAGTAATAAATCTGATTTTCAATTGCCATTCCAAAAGGATAGATCATGCTTCGATCAAGATGCTGCCTAAAATTGCATAAAGAAATCACAGTTTTGCATCCGCTAGTAGACAAACCAAAAGAGAAATCTCTTGCTCCAATATTCAAAAATTTGCAGGTACACACCATATTTAAAAAGCATTTCCATAAAACTTTCAAATTTCTAGAGCCTAGATTTTTTACTTAGATTTTTTTATTCAATATTTATCTAGATAGTAGTATCATCTATCCAAATGTAATGTATTTAGTTCATTTCTATCAATGCTTAAAGAATGTAATTTTATTTAGAATGAAAATTAGTGATTATATTTCTGTTCTCTCTCTCTCTCTCTCTCTCTCTCTCTCTCTCTCTCTCTCTCTCTCTCTCTTTGTCAGAAAATATTATGACAATTTGATATTGAATTATTTCGAGACGTCAACAAAATCGGATTGGAATATCATTTAATATTTGCTATTTATAAATTCAGCCAAACCAAATGTGCTAGTAACATAACAATTATATAGCAAAATAACTGGCATTTGCTCATAACATAACATTGTGAAACAGATCTCAGCAAACCAAACACCCTCTTAAGAAGGAAAAATGGAATTGTGAATCAAAACATAACATAAAAATTACGAACTCTTTCGGGACATTCCATTTAACATCACATAATTCTTTTTTTCTGCAAAGCCCCTCAAACATTAGTACAACACCATTAATTTTTACAATCTAACCGTGATTGCCTTTAGTAACATCAAGAAGCAACTAAAGGACAGAATCCCGGAAGCATTTTGATCCTAGTTCCCTAAGGGCTCATTCAAAATACTCTGTCTCTAAGTCAACAACACGGAATGATGCACAAGAATCCAATAACATCTAGATCACAGGAAATACCCAAATTTATAGTAAATCGCTGAACCTTCTCAACATTTGAACTGAACGGTAGGGTAAGTTACCTTGACTATTCTCCGGAGGTAGTGGGCTAAGACGGGAGAGGGGCGCACGGTAGAGGACGCGCGCCCTTTCGATACCGTTGGCAGCATCGCTCTGGAGTGTCTCTCTTTCCCTCTGTTCCCAGATCCGACCGGGCTCTAGCTAACCCTGGCGAGTATGATAGAAAAAATAAAGAAAAGCAAAAATTATTGATGTTCAATGATTTTTAGTTTCACCGAAATGAGTGAAAATTCTAATAAGGAATTTCTTAATATGCCTCATTGTAGGCATAATTAGAGTTTTTATCTTTATTTTTTTGTACAAAGTTTATTTTTTGATGAAGTTATCTCTATTATATTTGTTGATTATTTATTGAAGTCCTTAATGAAAGAAATTGATTCCGATATTCAATATGATTTGAATATTCAAAGATAATTTTTTTTCAAGCTCCGTCATTTGAACCTCACTATAGAATATATCATACAATGATCGATAAAGAGTCAATGATCGATAAAGAGTCAGCATGATAGAGCTCAATAGGTGAGGCATCATAAGATTGAATGTGTTCTAATGAAAAACTGTGGCATAGGTTTCGTGTGATGAGGAGTTCACACAACAAAGCTTTTTGAAAAAGGGATTGTGGAACCGATAATATGAGGCAAAGCTCATTGGGGAAGACAAAGATAATAAAGACTACATGTGAGGAGAAGAGGAGTTTCTACTACATCACTCGCTAGAGAAGGCATCACGAGGCTGGCAGCATTCAAGGGAGCTTTTTCGAGAATGCATCATGAGACCGGCGGAGATTCTAACCAAGTTCAAACCAACTTTGAACTATGATTCGAATTCAAATCAACTTATACCTATTCTTTCGTGGTAAACTTATTGTGAATAAAATATATGATAACTTTAACCAATTTAAACTTTTAAGCAAAATTTTCAAAGAAAATAAAAAACCAAAATACATTTTCAATTACGTGTATTATCAAGCATATAAAGTCAATTTTAGGCTTGCCTTAAAAATAGGTTGAAAAAGTTAAAATATTACAAATTTAATAAATCTTAATATTTAATGATTAAATATTAATAGTTATAAAGAAAGTTTTTAAAAGCTTAATTTTATATGAAGATCCAACACACACAAATTAAAAAAAGAAAAATTAATACCATACACCAAAGTTTTTATATTGAAAGAAAAAAAAATTACAATGCCTAACCTAACTAAAAGGATTTACTACATAACTAAGATTATAAATTCTACTCTTCTCCTTAGTTGTAGGATCATAAATTGTAAATATTAACTTGAGCTCATGTGTTAGTAAAAGAGATTGATGGCAAAATAGTGGTCAAGTTATGAAGGTTGAAAGATGACAACCAAGAGACAACAGTCAAATAATGACAATCGATGACAATAATAAAGAGATAATGGTCTGCCAACAATGGTTATAAGATGAAAATTGGATGATAGGGGTCAGACAATAAAAGTCAAACAAAGGCTATCACGAGATGGTGATCAGGCGATGACGAATGGGCGATAGTGGTCATTAGTGGCAGTTGTCAATGGCGATCATGTGGCTATGCTCTTTCAAACTACATGCCCATATCTTGCTTCAAGCTACCATTTCAAGTGAAGAATAAAGTCTATTTATAATACTTTTAGAATCGCATTTTCGTAATTTTAGCTGAAATCTTAAAAACACTCAATTAGATGGCTTTTATTTATTCCTTTAATTATATGATATTTTGTCAACATTTAAGTACCTTACTGATCTCAAAATATAGCAATCAGAGGCTCATTAGATTCCTCTTATCAACACAGTCATTTTGACTATAAGCTACAAGATATAGAAATAATTTAGTCCTTCAATTAATATCACAAAATTTATAATCATACTTCAAATGTTTAATTGAGGCGCATTTGGAGTTGGATCAAAAAACATTTTTCAATGCCATTGAATTTATGTTATTGAGATGTTCAAATCGACTATAAATTTGCTGAAAATAAAATTCTAATGGTGATAAATTTGGCTCTAAAGGTTCTAAATTAAATATTACTTCGAGATTTGTGTCATTGGAGCTGGATCATATTATTTTAAATGTCATCATATTCAAGTTATTGATAAGTTTAGTTCAACTATAAGTTTGGAAAATAAAGTTCTAATGGTGATAAATTTTGTTCCATAAGGATCTAACTAAAATATTACATTAGGATTTGTGGTTTGTTAGATAATTTTTTTTGATGGGGTATAATTTTTCTTCAAATCTTTAAAATAGTTATGACATAAAATTAAAATTTTGAAAAAATAATGAGACGTGACCGCTCCCTAGACATTAATGTGGACATTCTCTCTTTGTCATGAATCAAACTATACCTATTCAATTATAATTTCACTCTTTCATATATGGGTGCATCAATTGGAGCAAAAACTATTAAAAAAAAAATCACTTTAAACTCTCCAAATTTGCTCAAAATTAGTTCTAAAAACTCCATTGGGTTTCAATTTGTGAAAATTAAGTCCAAGATATCAAAAAGTTATCTCATGGACCACAAAATGTGAAAATATTTTGCATAGGGCTATGTGGGCTAAAAATGTGGCATGGAAGTATACAGTGAATCGACCGACTAAGTAACCAGCTTGCTGCCTTCATCAACAAAGGCAAGCCACTTACGTGCGTCATCTAGTGGCACTTTGAGGGCACATACAACACTACTTCCAATAGCCTTTTTTGTTGTTGAAATTAAGCCATTTTCAAAGCATTTTTTTATATAAAATATTTTAAAATATGTTAAATTTAAATACATGCATTTAATAGCCCAAAAAAATTGTCAAAAATATTGTAAAAACTACAAAAGTTTAAAATTTTTGATAAAAATAAATTGTAAATCCTCGCCCTCCTGCTAAGTATATATAACCCCATGTGCAAAATAAGAATTAACAGTAATATTTCTAATCCCTGTGATGATGTTCCGATCATCTTCTGATAAGAAACTTACTAATTATATTTGTATATATTGAAGTTGAGGTGCTCGAGGTTCTTAATATATGACAAATAGTGTATGTCGCATCATCAGTGAGTGACATGGATATGTTGACAGCTTTGTGATAGCACCAAGAATGACTTATGTAATAACCCGTATTTTGATTTTTTTTAATTTTTTTTATAGAGTCATTACAACTCCAAATCACAAATCGTCTTTGACAGAGTATTTTGATTGTAGTATTTTACTTACCCGGATTTTTTTATAATGTTTAGACACCGGTGAAATTTCTTATGTAATTTGTACATGTCGGTACAAGTGAGGATTTCGGACCGGTAGGTGTTTGTTTTACAAATCGATTTAACCAATATTTTTTAAATAAAATAATTTATTTTATGGATATTTTTTGTAATTTTTTAATTCCTAAAATGATTTATTTAAATTTTATACTAAAGAATTAATTAAATTAAATATTATATTAATATTATATTAAAATATCTTAAAATATCTAAAAGCATTAAATAATTTTTTTTTATAAAATCCTTTTTGCTCCCTTTACTTCGGCTAACATAGAGGTATATAGGAAATTTGAGAGAAAAAGTTAGAAGAGAGAAAAGATAAACCCAAATTTTTGAGGTTACGAAGCAATTTTCGTTCATCTATGCAGCTGAGAAATTTGCTCATCTCATTGTAAGGAACCTTTACCCAATTTGTGATTTTAAAGATTTTGAGTTTTTAATATTTTTCTTTACAATTTTGTATTTCCGTTACCAAAAACTTGAATAGCTGTGTATTGGCAAAACTTCCATCACGTAAATTTTTATATGTTATAGAGATCATGATTTATGAGCATTTTGAGTATTTATTTATGATTTTTCATAGAATGATTTTGAAAATACAATAATTTTTGTTTACTCAGAATTTTATTTTAATATCTAAAAATAGTGTAGTACAATAAAAGTCTTATAATATAATTTTATACAATTCATTGTATTTTGATAATTTTTTGAAAATATGCATTTTTGCTTAATAGGATTCTTTTTTTTAACGTTATGACATTTTGTAAATTAAGTTTAATTATATTTTATTTATTGAAATGCATTGAAAATGAATATGGATATATGATTAAGATTAATGTTATAGTACTGTGATACTATGTGTATAAAAGACAAGTAAAGACTGGTTGACCCGTTGGTTGGAGACTGATTGACTTGTACATGATGGTGGGCTGACGAGCTTTTCTTTAAATATTATGATTTAATGTTATCCTCTAATGATTCACGTGATACTGATTGGGAGTTATAATAAGATGGTTATTATGACGATGGACAAAAAGTGACGACTCTGTTTACTAAGCCAACGGTTTACTAATATTGATATAATAGTGAAAAAATAGTACTTCTTACTTATTTAGTGTTACTAGTGAAATGCATATTCTTGAGGCATTGTTCTTATTATTGTACAAATTTTTATTACTATATGGATTTACTATTATTGTATTATTATACTGCTTCTGCCACTAGATTGTTATTATTATCGATTCATATACTGATACTATTTGATACTATTGATTCATTGTATTGATATTATGCATGTGATATACTGAGCACATAATATAGAATAACTGGATATCATGTGTTTCCTCATATATAATTTTATTGCATGAATTTGATTTTGATAATATTTATTTTGATTTAATATTTTATTTGATTAGAGAGACATGATTGATTTATGGATTTGACACTCGTACTAGTTTACTAGCTTTTGTATTATAGTGTTTTACTGTTTATAGATTCTACTACTATTGTATGTGAATTTTATTATTTCTGCACTGATTTAATGATCATATGAATGTAGCTGCTATGATTTGACTGTTGACATGTATATTATTTCTTTATCATACTTTAAATCCAGTTATAGGTTGTGATGACCTACTGGGCTTTTAAGCTCATTATATGTTATTAAATAATTTCAAGTCAGGGCAGGGGAGCATAAGTGCGAGACTGATCAGGATTCTTCATGTTCTATTTTTTTAATTTTTCTTTTGTACTCAGAATTGAGTTGTTAAGATTTAATTTTGTAGATCATGAGTATTGTATATAATTTTTAGGAATGAATATAAATGTGTACATTTATGTTTTGAATTATAAAATCTATTTTATTGTTTATTATTGATAGATGATATTAGATAGCTCTGATTGTTTATTATTAAAATATTAAAAGAATAATTCTTCCAAATTAGATTATGG